ATAACGTATTGATTGTATACTGAAGCTTAAAAATTAAAAGTAAAAAGATGACCGGGGAATTGTCCCATCTCAGAACAACAGTAGAACCCTCTGTAAATAACTCCTCTTTTAACCATCAGCTAAATGAACACTTCAATACTGCACTACAAAGTCTTCTGCAAAATTACTTTAACTAACAAGCAGAAATTTATCAGCTTCAGCCAAAATCAATGCTGAAATCAATTTGAACACTGGTTGTGTCTAAAGGGGCTCATTGGCAATTTAGGGAAATTACACCATGTAAATGCCTGTGCTTTAATTGAACAGTTTCATCAACTAGGCTGTGATTGCTGTCCATTCATTTATTTACTCTCACTGCAGCTCCCATTCTGCAAAGGAATGGGTTTTGTCAGACTTGAAGGAGGTACTTTATCTTCATTTTATGCACTTTTGTGCATAACAGATTTTATGAGGCAGGCAAGTGATAGCCAGGGTCAAAAGAAACAAGTGAACAGCAATCACTGGTCACTCTTGTTTAAACTGCAGTGATAATATGCAGAAATCTGGGGGAGTATTTCTGACTTACCCCAGCTATTATTGTTCTAACGCTTTGCAGCGCGACTAAAAATAAAACAAAACAATAGAAACAGAAAACGAATGTAGGCTGGGAAGGGAAACAATGGAAAATGCCTCAACTGCACCACAGGAATGCAGGGAGATGCCATTTTCAGACTTCAAATGGCCACAGATTTGTTTTAACACCAAACAAAACACTGAACCTGCCTGCACCTCCTTTCTTCAGAGCTGCATCAAGCACCAGAGACATCAAGCACTGGGACAAGCAATGTGTATGAAATGTAGTGAGAACCTGCCGCAGGCAGGGACACCTTCCACTGGAGCAGCTTGCTCCAAGCCCCTGTGTCCAACCTGGCCTTGAACACTGCCAGGGATGGGGCAGCCACAGCTTCTCTGGGCACCCTGTGCCAGCGCCTCAGCACCCTCACAGGGAAGAGCTTCTGCCTAAGAGCTCATCTCAGTCTCCCCTCTGGCAGGTTAAAGCTGCTCCCCTTGGCCTGTCCCTACAGACCCTTGTCCAAAGCCCCTCTCCAGCTCTCACAGACCCTGTTAGGCACCGTGTCACTTCCCTTACTCTCCAAAACAGCTAAATCTCCTCCTGTTTCCCCACTCCAGAATTGACAATGCTTTTCCCTGCTGATGTTCAAGGATGTGCAATACACTGGCAGGCGCCATTTGCAGCCTGGCTTGCAGGAGATAGCAACTTTCCAGCTGTCTTGCCATACACTATGTTTAATGTGCTAATGGGGCACCCCAAGGTTGGTTGAGATAGAGAATAAGAAAACGGGTATATGCTGGAATGTACAACTGAACTGAACAGCAGAATTGCTCCAGTAAATTGCTCAAACAAATTAAGCTTCTGCATTTATCCGTATTTCCCTGCTACACAATTCTGCTGGGCGGGACATCATCAACAGCCACATCTCTCCCAATTACTCAAGTGAAAGTGAAGCCGTCTGGTTTAGCAGCATTTTGCTAAGATGGTAACCGATTCCCCCTTTTCTTCCCTCCCTATCCCAGACATTTGGTAACTTCACAAATTAATTAGGGCATCATTGGGACTTTATGTTTATTTCACTATACGGAGGGTTATAGCTTTCTGCTGCTGGAAACTCCTCTAACAGAACCCAAAGATCTACAAGCCATACACAATGCACATTCTGAAAGAATCCCAGACATGCAGAAGGAAACAGTGATGCTATACATATGCCATGTGAGAGAGACTTCACAGAGTAATTATCTACCAGAGACAAATACCTCTACTTTGTAGTACTTAGGTTCAAAATACATACAACTAAGGATTTGGGGTCTAAACAATTTAATGTAGCTACTCCAGAGACTAGCTGGCAAAGCCTATACATACCCTTACAAACCCAAATGTTAACCTTCTTTCACTGAAGAGAAGCAACCTCATAAAAACAGCCTCTTAGAGCTCTGCAGTCAATGATGGAGCTAAAAGATGCAGCACATCTGCATCATATTTCAATGTCTTTTGGACCTAGCAGTGAATGATTTCTTCCAAAATAGCAATTTAAGTAAATACAATAGAAGCAATGCTATACAGAGGTATTCTGCTGCTGTGAAGCAGCCCTAACTGTACAGTTACCATCCTACCAGATTCTGTAACTACCTTATAAGATAGTTGATAACAATTAGAAAGCCTGTTGAAGAGCTGGAAGTTCGTACATCTACCAGTGCAACAGTCTTAGGGCTCTCTTGTCCGGAAAGGTGCGGATCTCCGTGACATAACAGCAACTGAGAGTTTCCAAATATTCACAGAATCGGATAATTAACTGGCTTTGCCATATCTAACTCCATAATTGTTATCACGCCTTAAATAAGAAAACAGCTTATCAAAAGGTAAGGGAAAATAGGAAGTCAAACAACTACACAATCCCTTCTCTTTAGAGCAGGGAAAACATTGAGATTCAGCAAGTTCTCACTGGAAATATTGCTATAAAGTATTGATTTTTTACCAGACTCAATTGACTGAAAAGTTGTTTGTATAGCAATACTGGCCGAGCCAATATACTGGAACAATTTTGCTACACACAGTAATCAAGTGTATTTCTAAAGTATAATTATACTGTCATAAAAATAAAGCTAAGATACCTCTTCTCCAAGCAATGAAACAGCTGCAGCTGTAAAGAACCCAAATAAATGAAATACATTTTCTAACTAAACATAACGTCTTCCAAAGAGAACAAAACCACCCCCCCTCTCCCCTCCTTAAGCCAGGGTTAGCATGAAAAGTGATCAATACTTCAATCTCAATAAACTATTTCAATAGTAGTTAATTCACGTGGAAAGAGAGGCTCAAGATTTTTGCTCAGCGACCTGCGACACGCTCTCTTGTTTGCTCAATGCTGATAATATATCATTGCCATAATGGATATGACTTAGTATAAAGAGCCAGAAAGAAAGGGGAAAAAAAGATGCCACATAGCCACGCTCGTTCTTTAGGCTTGGATCAATAATACACACTACACACAGGCTCTTCTGCACCGAGCCAACAGCATGGTCTGCCACAAGAGGAAAACAGCCAAACGCTCGCAATTCATTTTATTTGACAAATGTTCATTGATTTACTGGAATAAAATATATGTGGGCTGCTATCTATGACTAGTGCAATCCAGCTACCTGTAAGTATTCCATTTTGCAGTTTCTTCTTGGCTTGTGCAGCTCAGATGCTCCTTTGGCAAAGAGAACAGGTTGCCTTTTACAATGGGGTGATTGCTGGCCAGGCTGGAGCAACCTGGTCTAGTGGAAGGTGTCCCTGCCCATGGCAGGGGGCTGGAGCTGGAAGAGCTTTAAGGTCCCTTCCAACACAAACCATTCCATGATGCTATGACTGTTCCAAGGTATTTTATATATAATTTATTTATATTTTTATACCACCTTCTGCACCTCTCAGCGCTCTGTCACTGCATGTACAGCAAGCATGGAATGTTCCTTGTGAGTAGGGCAGATACAAGCTGAGAGACATTAAATTCAGCAGATCTTCAGCGCAATCCCAACAACAAAGTCCACATTCACTTGCCTTGGTTTACATTCCTTAGACTTTGGCCACTATCAGACAGAAAGAAGGCGAGAGACTTTTGTATGACCTGGCATGGCCATTCTTAACGCTGCTCATGGTTTCACATTGCTAGCTCCTTATTTTGGCTAATAAAGAAAGTGACTCAGAACTGGGTAACAATGACACATAAAGGTTCCCTCACTTCATGGGACGTTCCTAACAGTGCTTTCCACAGGGACCAGAGCCCCTTTTCATTACTATCATTATTATTCGATTTCACTTTATTTCAATTACTAAACTATAAGTAAGATAACAATACTGCTTCTGCAAGTTTCTTGGTCTAGCAATACCTTTCCACAAGAGAACATCAATGAGATGTCTGAACTATGTTCCATCTACCGGGCTAACCTGATTTCTGAAGAGTCCATTCAAAGACTGGATTTGTTCCTTTAAGGTTCTGGAAGTCCGTTTTCACTAAACCTTCCGCAAGGAGACTCGTTTTGCCATGTTGGCAGCCAATTAGAAACTACACTAAATGCACCATGGCTTTTAAAACATCTAAAAAAATGTTAATCTCAAAGTTAAAATGTCTAAGGTATAAACAAAATCATAATGGGATGCTGGGTTACTGTATATGGTAAATAGCTCTCTGGAGGAAACCTTTATTACTCCCTCAGGGCTTTCTTACGAAGTATGGATTTCTTAATTCCTAGTGGAATATTTTTCATACACCACTGCAGACTATTAAGTACCAGATATTACATTATGTAGTTTAAACTTTGCACTATGCATGAGAAAGACTTTCCTGTCGAGAAAACTATACCTCTGCTATTATAATCTTTACAATATTAAAATTAATACTGGCTGCAGGGTATAAGCTTCACTACCAAAATTTGGGGGAGTTTATCATTTAATGTATTCATCAGCCTATGTGTGAAGCTGCTCGTGAGGGAGGGAAGTCACTGCAGCAGCAAAAGGGGTTATTTACTAATTTGGAATTGCTAGAGAAAGGCAAAGCAGCGGTGTCATCACATCCCACTGGTGTCATTCTCAGTACTGGGCTAGCAAAGGGCGTGGTAAAGCAGCAAGAATAATGGCATTGCAAATACTGAAGGCAATTCATTATGCTTCAGGACATTTCAAGTTCCACTTGTGAACCATTAACTTGTTACCCAGGAGGGATTCAAAGCTAAGTATTAAAAAGATAATAAAAATGCACCAGCCCTCATGGCACCCAAGAGCAGATACCTTGTAAATATGGAAAGAGGATTCTTAAAAAGTTCCTATTAAGAACGTATTTTATAATCTTTTCTTCACAGCAGCACTGCCCACCTACATCTCAATACAGATATAAGGGTAACAAAAAATAAAAAAAGGCATTTTTAAATTCCATTTTCAACAATTTGAAGTGAAATTCAACACTCACTTGTAGACTGTGCCTCCATTGCCATGACCGAGGATGTCTCGATACCGTATGTCTTGTTCATTCATCTCCACAAGAAAGAAAGAAAAACAAAAGAGATGTCATGCTGTGGATGGAAATGTCAAGGAAAAGCAACTCTAGGCCATAAACAACAAGCAGTCTGGGTCATTTCAAGTTCAGCTGCAAGAACGAGAAGATCAATACAACATTTGCTGTCCAATTTATAAAAGACGATACCAAGGGACAAAGTGATGGAAAGTTTAATGACAATTTGTTTGCCTGGGTCATTTCATTAAAGTTTGATAAAAGGTGTCAAAATGGAATGATATAATATAGCTCAAGAGGGTCAGGTCACAGATACTGATAGGAAAAGGGTCTCCAGAACAGCACATAACCAAAGCCAAAGTTGGAGGTGAATGGAAACAATCCACCAGGAAACTGTCATCTTAAGAATGGCTCAAAAACTTGATGATTTATTCTGGAATCAGCATAACTGATGCTAATTGACTGACAGTTCTGGCACTCTGAAAGCTTCACAGTGCTTCATTTATCTACCTTTTAACAAAGGCAAATCTTTGGAAAACAGAGTCTTGATGTGCTATCCAACAAAGATGACTTTCCTTGAAATACACAATTAATTGCTTGCCTCGATCTTTCTGTTCACCAGGACAACTCTCCAGACATGAAGATATCCTCAGATCTTCAACGGAAGCCCAATACAAGCACCATATATTGCAAATGCTGGAATTTGGGATCTTTCTGATATTGCTTTTATAAAAGCTTACTGTAGTGCTGAATGAACAATTCAAATGTAAAACTACAGTTCAACCTTTCCCTGTACAAATACAGTTATTCTGATTTCCCACATAAACCACCTATTACAGAAATGTCACTGCAGACATTTTTGAATGCACATGTATGCTTGAAAAGAAAGGTATCATCAGAATGAATTCTGGGCTGTATGCATTTTCTATTACAAAAAGATACCCCTTGCTGCCTGAAGTTGCATAGGATTGGGCAAATCCCATATTAGAAGAGATTTTCCTATGAAGCATTAACTCATTTCTAGTAACCATTTGTATTTTATAGGATACCAAGTTAAACATTCCACATGAGTTGGCATGGCTGCTTAAAGACTGTCATTTTTGTGTGAAAAGGCATCAACCCCCCTAATGATATGTCTGCTCTGCTATCACTGATGTGATTAGAGATCACGTAAGCACATCTGAAATAGCTTCAAATCAGTGATTTCAAGTACCACACGGTGACAGCTCACCATAAGCTAACTATCTGTATTTATCCATCTTCTGAAACAACTTTTAAATTCAATGGGGACATGTGCCCTTAAGTTACTAAGCCATGCTTAAGCATCCCCTTTCGTATGATGTCAGTGAAGAGAAGAGGAAGCTTTCTTCAACTGGAACAAGTAAGTGATCATAACAAGGTAAAATGCACTAAAGAGCCAATACTCAGCAAGTCTTAGGAACAAAAAATGGAATATTACTTGATTTTAAATAATATGTATTAAAGACATAACTGCTGAACTCCAAAATCTGTGCTCTTTCCTTTCACTACCTGAATAAATAGCATTCTTGTTTCTCACAGGAAATACTCTGCATTTCTTCCAGCAAGGGTAGAATCTCCAAAATCTGAAAAACTTCAAAATACCTCAAAGCAGAAGCTGACTTTACATTATCACCTATTTGTAGTTAAACCTGGGGCCAGATAATCTTAAGTGGGTATGAAATAGCCCATTCAAGTATCAAGGTTTAGGATGAAAATGAACATTTAGTTTATTCCTGAAAGCTATCTTACTTGCATTGATCAGAAAATGCAAATAAAAAGGAGGAAAAAAAGAGGTACCTCGTGAGGAACAATAACTCCTGAATAGGTTTTAAAGTATGTGAAGAATCTACCCTGGATCCTAAAACTCATTTCTCTCAGACTGCAGTACTCACTAATTTAAAGCAAAGCACACACTGGGTTTAAGGAGTTCTGCTCTTCTAAGCTGGAGGACTTTAATTCTCCAGCCTTTGAGGTAACAACAAACATCTTTTTGCTATATTTCCAGCAATGTTCTTCTAAACATAACTCTTAAGAGAAATTAAATGAAACCATAAAGCCATGAACTTTTATCTTTGCTTCTTGGGGGGGCGAGGGGGGAAGATTTTTTTTGCAGTTACACAAGTTATAAGCAGCAAATTGAGCAGAACCAGAGACATAAAATGCGTTCTCTTTTCTCCTGCTTTTTGCTAACTGGTAAAAAGAGTTATTTTCTTCACCTCAGTCCCTAAAAGACAGTGATAGGAGCAGCTCCATCATCTGCTTTTGCACTGCTTGCACCCACTGCCAGCCCAGCACCATTTCTTGTCTCTATGCACAAAGAGCAACCAGAAACCCAGGGTGAAATAGGAAGCCTGGGGTGGAGCAAGTTATCTGCCAGCAACCGATAGAGAGATAAAGCGTGATTTACTGGCTCAAATAAAGATGCCAAAAACATGTGGTGATTTATCTATTTTACTGAGAAAACTGGATTCTCAATCATAAAATGATAACATAATAACAATGAACTCAACAGTAAGGGCTGGAATATTAAACCTGCAAACCCAAGTTTGATTGGATGCTAATAGTAACAGAATTAATGACAAAGCGAAAGAGACTTCAATTATGGATCAGCAAACAAAACATCCCTTGCTTATACCTGCTGGTTTTGAAAGAAATCAGTGTCTATCTCTTGTAAATCATTAAAACCAAAATGCTCAATTAATCCTTATTTTATATGGAGAGGCCTGACAGAAGCAAAGTCCTATAGCCATACCTTTGCTTTACGAATCGAAGCAATAATGGTTTCAGAAAGCAGTCACACTCTATGAGCAGACAATTGAAGAGATTTAGTAAATCCCACTTTATAGAGCAGAGACTAATCGGAAAACACAAGCCAGTCAAATGTTTCTTATGAACTGTTGACACTATATCAATGCTGAATCAATTGGTGGCATTTACTCTGAGTGACAGAAAAGAAATAAATATTTATATCACATCACCTATATCAATGAACCTAGGCAGAAAGCTATTTCTAACTTGTCAATATTTGATTATCTTGAAGAATCATGTCCCCTTCTTTTAATGATTAATATGAATTCCTTATTAAACCTAAATGGAAACTACTAGAGGAATATCATTATGAATGCCTGAAAGCAGAAACTGCCAAAAAATAATACAAAATAATAACCCAACCGATACTTAAGTAATGATGAGTGTGACTTAACCCCCCAAAAGGAGAAAAAGTTAAAGTTACAACTAGAAACCTATCTCCAGTTAGGGAGCTGTGACTAAATTCTGCAGAACACAATGCAGCATAACGAAAAGCATCTTCTCTCAACAGAAAGCAGTGCAGCTCTGGCCAGAGCAGGGGGACTGAAAGGTAGGGTTAAAACTTACTTTTTCTTTTTAAATGGGTTTAAGTAACGTTTTTAAATATCATAGTAAGAGCTTTGGTTCCTTTATGTCTTTCTACAATTCTACTATGCAGGAAAGAAATCCGTAAATCTATTGCAGGGCACAGAAAACACTCATTTCGATTGCTGAGAACAAATGAAATGCCAAATTCAGCTTATGGACTCAATCACAAAAAGACAGCTTTTACTCACAGTCCATAATTCTACTTCAAAACCTATTAGTAATATTGGAGTAATTATCAACTTGATTTTCAAGGTTCAGAAGCATGCTGCTGGTATTTACAGGATTTTAATTTATCCAGAGAAACAGACTGCACAGGTATAATTTTGAAACATTAACAAATCTACCTGGTAGGCACCTGTGAATATTAAACTCAGTCTGCACGCCAGGCTTTAAAATACATTTCCAAGCTGTATTCAAAGGATTCAGTGCCAAAGAGGCAAGGCTGCAGCACTGGGCTGCTCGGCTCACATTTTAGAGGGGCACCCTCATCTATTAGACCACAATGTTACAGGTGATACTGAAGGACAAGCATGAAGACCAGCCTTTATCTTCTTGACACGCTCAACTACAACTACTTGATTCATGAAATGCCAATGAGGCTTGGAGAGGTCATTGTGTGAAGGCACTGAATACGCATCTGAGATAATTAAGATTTCAGCCTTCGAAACATGGAGGGGAAGTGAACAGCAGTTAAGAAAATCAATAAGAGTCTTTTATTTGCAGTGACACAGATGTCTCAGTCAATAGAGCCTAATAGGCAAGCTTGATCGCAATGGACAGGTGCTGCCTCCAAGGCTATCAAAGGGCTTTCACTATGACAAACATTAAAACATATTTATGTTGGTGCTGCTGAAGAATCTAAGGTTCTTCTAAAGGTAGTTTAATTTACCAGTGTATATTTAATATCATTATACTACCGCAAGCCTGGCCATACGTTCAGCTCAAAATTGGTATGAAATGTTTCTCCACGACATCCATTTCTCCATCATTACATTAAACCTTTTACTTCTGGGTGCCAGAATCTGAATGTCTGGAGCAGGAGAAGCAGCAACACGACAACTTTCCACAACTCTGGGGTTTGTTTTGCTTTAGGTTGTGTTTTAGGTTTTTTAAGAAGCCACAACATAAGGTGACTGCAAATAGTAGCGAGCAGTTCCTTGCAAGAACCTGCTAAATATTTAAGTATCAACTGCCCTAAAAACCACAAAGGTCATTTGAAGTGAGCAGTTGACTTAGTTATTCAAAATTGATTAACTTTCTTCCTTGAAATTGTGGCAGCAGCACAATATGTGTGAGGTACTTCAATCTATTTGGAGCTAAATCTGATTAGCACATTTTGAGAAATGGGAAGCAAATTGCTATGCCAATCAAAGCAAATCAGGCTACATAACTCATTCATATCATGAAGGTTTTCATGGTTCTTCCAGTTCTGTGTTAAAAGAACACATTACAGCTAAATGAGCAGTAAGCATCTCTCCACCTATTTGAGGTGTGCCAATCACTGCAGAATGAGGCAGTAACGAGACATGCATGTAGCCCAGGCTCAATTCAATACACCTACCTGGCCATTTGCAAGTATTTTCTTCAGCTCTGCAGAAGACTTTTTTAAGCTGAAAATAAGAGAGAGGCAATTATTTTAAATGACTGTGCCATTTCACTCTATAAAATGAAGTGAAAGCATGAGAAACCACAAGCTGTCAGGTTAAGTTCATGGTTACATATTCCGAGTAGGCTTAACATCAGCAATGCTGACTGATGGTCAGTATAGTTACTTCATGAACTACAGACAGCACACACGGAAAGCAATGAACAGTTTAAAAACTCCATGTATTCTCACCTTTACAAATTGTTTTAGATACCTGACTGTACTGCCCTGTGAGATACAACTTATTGCCAGCTCAAAGAATAAAACCGAACATATACCCTCACACCCCTTAAGTTTCAAGAAACAACATGAAAATCAGGTTCACACCCAGTTTTCAGGTGCCCCATCTTGTTTTAAAACTCCTGAAGGCATTATCCCTCAGTAATTTCTATAAATCTGCAGCAGAGCTGTATGCTGTTGATGCAGCCTCACCACCTCAACTGACCATAGACTGGAGCATGGGGCATAGGCAGCGTAAGTCCTGATTTAGGCATCTCAGGGATATGCCTAAATTCAGGGAGGTGAGGCCAGATTGCCACAGAGTCATATCACAGAATCCTAGAATGGTTCGTGCTGGAAGGGACCTTAAAGCTCATCCAGTTCCAACCCCTGCCATGGGCAGGGACACCTTCCACTGGAGCAGCTTGCTCCAAGCCCCTGTGTCCAACCTGGCCTTGAGCACTGCCAGGGATGGGGCAGCCACAGCTTCTCTGGGCACCCTGTGCCAGTGCCTCAGCACCCTCACAGGGAAGAACTTCTGTCTAAGAGCTCACCTCAACCTTCAATTCCAGGTCAACTTGCTGCTGTAGTCCCCCTATTTCAAAAGAAACTACTCCTCTGTCAGTGGTCTTACATTACTTTAAATGACCCATATATTTTTTTCTAGTAGAACTTTAACAAACCGCAACAATTGGCTCTCTGTGGTTTATAGGTAAAACTATTAATGGCTTCAAACTGCTTCCACTCACTTGCAAAATACTGCTTCACCTCCTTTCCTGACAAACTCTGTCCCTTGTTCGTTCAACACAACAACCTGCCTGGGTAGCAATATGTCTGCAAAACTTAATCTCAAAGAGACATTCTGCTCTTAGCACTGAAGTTAAAAAGTACAAAATAATATATTCTTGAAAGGCATGTGCACGTGTCTTGATCACAGATCATTATTAACAAGAACAGTGAAAACACAGATTTCGTATTTGGTGGCTTTGTTCTTTAATAGGCCTCTTGTTCCCACGACTACTTTAAAGCAAAATTAAGTTTTCCAAGGAAACATAAGTTGATCTTGTCATCTTTCATGACTAACAATTTGTGAACATGAAACAAAGAGAGACTTTCAATTACTTCAAAAACCAAACTCGTAGTGCAGAAGGTTTCGGAAAAGGAATGGCAATTAACCACCAAATAAGGTGACAAGAATCTTCTAGAAGCCTCATTTTCAATGCACTTCAAGAACAAGCTCAAAGTACAGGAAGTACTGAAAGCAAAAGCACAACAGCAAGAGAAAGCGGCTTTATTTAGTTCAGCAATGTGACAGATTGGGAGGAAGGCTGCAGTTCATAGAGACATTCCGATTTATACCCTTTAAAGAGTATTGGTGAGGATCTTCCCCAAGGGATGGGGCAAACTTTGCCAGAGGAGATTGATACAAGGTATTGGCTTTCTTTTTTTTACCTCTACAATTTGCAAAGCCACTGAAGGGAGCATCAAAATTGGTTTTAGTGGTAGTTGAAGGGGGCTACCATTTGCAGGACTACACCAGCACTGCTGCCAACCATGCGGGGCGGCATCCTCCTTGTCAATGGGTAACCATGTCACATCACTCCCACCATATGAAGCTGGGGTTTGTGGGACTGTCCCACCACTGCAGCACTTTGTAGTGTCTGACATAGTGGCTACCAACACCTCAGTGCCTGAGCAGGTCTAAAGCAGTATGATGGGTCTCTGGTCATGGTCATCTCTGCTCATTTCCTTATTCAAAATGCTCTAAGAGAGAAGGGAACAGTGAGCTGATGCACAGATACATGTAATATTATATGCTTATTAGAGTAACAGAATAATACAGGCTGAAAGAGACCTCCAGGGATTTCTATCCCACTTTCAAATATGCTCTCGTATGAAGAAGACAGAGTCAGACTTTTCTTATTCCTTTGTAAGAATATATAAGGGTTTTTTTTGTTTGTTTGTTTATTTATTTTAACATCAGATTGAGTACAATGACTGCCTGCAACAGCTCATGTAGTGACAGGGAATTTATGGTCCAGTTCTTAAATAAGAGCATATCTCTAGGAAAAAAGAAAACACGTTCCCTTGCAATTTAAGATCTTAATATGGGGTTTCAAATTAGAAGTGGAATCTAAAAAGAAAGATAAGGGAGATAAGACTTCCAAACTCTGCTAAAACTGTATGAAACAGGGCACTTAAGCTGCTCAGGTTTTTCAAATATCTTAGCCCACACAAAACCTACTGAATTTGATATCAAATTTTAAATCAAAGAATCCTAGAGTGAGGTAAGTAACACAGACCTGAACACACAGACCTTGCCACAGACTGTGATAATTAGATGAAGTAAACCAACTCAGCTCACCCACAAACAGTATTTCAATGCCACCTGAAACTCAGCAAAGACTTATTTCCTTCAGCAGAAAATACGTGTGAAGAACCAGCAGTTCAAGTCTAACAAGATCCATGAATCAAGGTAATTTCACCTTCCGCACTCCACTCCTGCGTGCCCGGTAGTCATATTGAAAAAGTTATTCAACATCAAGCTTACTGTTGGTACCTCTGCACACAAGGCTCCATTTTGTTTTAATAAAAGCAAAGAAAACAAACCATATGCTCCCATTCTTGAATCTTACCTATTGCTTGGAAGGGAATCCGAGACGGCCGAGCTGCTATTATTAGCAGCCCCTGCTCGAGTATTTACCTGCAGGCAGGGAAAGGATCTTGATCAGTCAGTTGTGTTCAGAGGACACTATTCTAATTAACCTGTAATTTGCCATGAATTTCTCATTTCACTCTGAAGGTTAATTAGCTTGTTGCTAGGCTTGCTGGTGGTTGAGGACTTGCCTCTATGTAGGTTAGCAGGCTATAGAATTCTTGGACCACACTATATAGTCTTTACATCCTAAAGGCTTAGTTAAATAATACAGAAAAAGGGATATGCCCACCATTTCTTCTCATTTAAAACCTGAACAATCAGTTCATATACCTGTAGTCTTCTGCATTTCAAAATGGGTACGATTACAGCAGCAATAAGCATACCTGAATGAATCAAACCACCTAAAAGAATTTCATTGCTGTGCTTTCCACACTTAGATAAATGACTGAAATCAAATTAATACATTGGGTTTTTTTTAATGCTTTGAAGTAGAGGCAGACGTTAGTTGATAAACTGAGCATTAAAATTTAAGCACTTATTAGCAGAGGTTAAAAACAACAAGAAAGGCAATTCCGTTCTTAATAAAACTGTATACACAGCTCCTGCAGCCAACACTCAGCAGATGAATCCTTCCCCACCCTCACCAACAAAAAAATTAAAGGGGAAAAAAAAAATCTGCTTGTCAGAGCTGAAGAAAGTGCAGTTTTATTTGACATTTCAATAAGTGGAACACAGCATTACAAATCCATCTAACTTTACTGAAACAATTATTGAAATTCCTACCTTCAGGCCATGTATGTTCCGTTTCCCGGGAGGTTTGCAGGCTGAAACAGTAATTGACTAAATTGTAGAACACATCAGGGCCATTTACAAATTTGCTCAAAATGAATCTTTTAAAAAGAAATGAGGGTGACACCAAAATTAGCAGAGAGAAATGATTGAAAAGTGCCTCACAAGACCCAGAGTGGGAATTATGAACCAGGATTTTTAACTTGCAGGAGTGAGCATTTATAAATGCTAAGAGCTTTCTGACACCGTGTAATATAAATTCTAATTTCTGCTTAAAACACATCCAAATCAAGAGGGCTGCTGGCTTAAATGATCAGATTCTTTTTGTAATTCAAATTAAAATCCTATGTCACTATATTTTCACATGCTGTATTTTTTCTGCTGGCATTTAACAGAAATATTTGCAAGATACATTTTAAAGGACTCAGCTGCCACACGTCGTGAATTAGTCACATTGTCAAACACAGACAGTTTGTTTTAAATGTAGAATAAAATATGTCAGGAGCAACAGCAACCGAATCCTGGATAAAAGCAATGCAAAATGCTGCATTTTGGACACAGATGTACAAATGTGGCATGTTATGATGATGTCTGGGTTTAGCGAGGGACTTGCTGCTTGAGGAGAAAGTATTTTCCTCAAGTCTCTCCAAGTGTGTATTGCCTTGTTCTTCTGTTCAGTGGATGTGCTTTTGTCAAATGTTAAAGCCACAAAGGCTTCCAGCTACATGTTACAGACAGTTCCCATTTTAAAACTACAGTGCCCTACAAATTGTATGTTAAAGGGCCTGTCGCTTTTGATTGATTGTCTGAGGAGGGATGTATTTGATTTTTCTCTTTCTCTGATACACATGCATTTCCCTTCAATTTTTGACAGCAGGAAACAGAACTATTTATTAGTCAGAAGGACACAGATGATAGTTATTAAACACATCAGTTAGGGCCAAGCCACGTGCCTTTACATGACATCAGAAATTACAGTGTGCATCTTAAAGAAGAAAAATATTGTGATACTGTGAGCATTAAAAATAAGTCAATCAGAAACCAACAAACTATTATAAAATATACATATAAGCATATTATATTTTTTTCCCAATAGATGAAAATCAACATTTTGAACAAGATATTGAAAGAATAGTATTTTTTATGGTACATATTTGAATGGTGTCTTCACCTTGAATTGCATAGATGGGATATATATATCATAGGATACATATATCTGTATATCTGTCTATATAAAGATATCATAGTATATATTTTTATATATATACACACCTATCACACACAGGATATAGATCTCTATATATAGATATATAGACAGGATATATATCTGTATGTGTATACATATCATAGGATATATATGTATATATCTGTGTGTGTATGCAAACATACTCTTATTTCTATATATGCACACACAGAGGTTTATTTACAGTATAAAAAAAGAACTCTGGCTCTTATTATCTAGATAGCAACAATACATTTCTTTAAAAAAAAAATAACACCAAATAAGATTTTTTTTCTCTTAAAGACATTTAAGTTATCAAACAAATATAGCACAGGCAAGGTAATGTAGGATGGCACATGGACCACTACTACTGGCAGGCTGTATGGAAGGCATGGCTTTTTGGGTGCTGACTGGAGACAGCAACTGGAAAGCTTCCTCAGAAGTGAGAGGGGCAGAAAGGGAAAAGGACTCAAAGGGAGATTGTCCTTGCAAAGAAAGCTCCTAAGAAGGGAGAACCTGAAATTATATCAGAAAGCTGCACATTACTGATAGGGCTCTAAACTGCAGTACATGGGCAAAAGGGCATGAAAAAAAGTGCTTGTGCTAACAGAATGTGGGATGTTCATTAGAGGCAGGACGAGAAGACAGAAAACAATGCAGGAAAGCACATTTTGTACAATACTGCAGAAGACCAGCAGCAGAACTTGGAAGCAGGCTGGGTATGAAGGAAGAAGCTTTAAAGCTGTAACCTAGACAGAATAGTTGTTTTAAGAAGGTGATTTGGAAAGATGAAACAGCAACTCAGCTCTGAAGCAGTTCAGAATCGGTGACAAGCCACTGACAAGGAAATAACCCAGGAGACACCTGTAGTTGAGCCAATGGTGAAAATGTGGAAATAATACATCGGGATTGTATCCTCAGCAGCATGAAGATGAATTCTGGATCTGCACAAAGATTATTCTTGGATGTAACGCAAATACAAAAAGGAGGCAGGAGCGGGAGTGGGAATCCACTTGACTGGTTCTTCAGAACAACCCAAAAGGAGAATCTAAAATAATTTTGTAATCTTAAATATCCCTTTAAACCCTGAGGCATGCAGCTACTGAGCACATCACAACTTCCTTTAACTGCTTGCTTAAGGGGAAATGTATCAAATTGCCTTGTATTTCCAAGAAGGGTTCCCGGCCTACTAGGATCATCCACCATCCACTAGATCAGCTTCTCCAAGCCACATGAAAGCCTTGCATTTTATTTCTTGCAAGTGGTGGTCAGTGTTTTTAGACATGGTGTATATCAGTAATTAAATGGTCTTCTACAGAAGAAGACTCTTCTACAGAGAGAAAGGTCTCAGCCTTTCTCTAAGGACCCTTTGAGACCCTCACATCTCAGCCTGGGAAGAGGTAGAAGGCAACTTCCCTCTTCACAGCTACTCTTGCACTCATCTCACAAGAGCACACCTTGACTGCTGATAGCTCTGGAGTCCCACAGCTCAAGCATCCGGGAGTCCCCCCTCTCAATGGGATCCAGCAGTCTGAGCCATAAAAGAATAATCTCTGTATTCCCCTTGAATTCAGGTCTCTCTTCCACAGGAGCACAGTAAACTACAGGAAACCCAACCTCCTTTGGAGACCTTATTAGCATGTGTTTGAGAAGGCTGTTGGTTAATTGCCCAATTCAAACTTCAGAGAGTTGTAAGTAATGGAAGTCGAGAATGTTTAATTGGGAAACTCATGGTATGATTATTTGTGCAATATCAGTTAAGTGAGAACAGTTTCATTTTTAATTATTTCAATTAATTTATTGCTGGGAGATTTACTTGGAGAATTTAAACCTGTTTCATCAATTAAGAAGCAGATTCAAAGAGAGCATCTGAATGAATCAGTGGAGTTATGTAATGTATCAGTCTTTCTTTAACCATTACTGGAGTTCAGAGAGAGCAGAGCACTCACAAAAACCGAACCAGCTGCCTACAGAAATTTGTTCAGGATGTAGATGACCTGTTTTTTAATTGCCTCAGCCCACATAACTGATTACACCTCTCCCTGTTCAGGAGGACTATTAAAGTACTTGGGATCATTTGGATACCACTGTTAAGTGCCCAAACATCACTTAAATGTGTCATGGATTGAACTGCTGTGACTGACACATTCCCATTTTCAAAGGGAACAATGACAGCCTGTTAAACTGATCAACGAGATTAGAAGATTTTAACAAAGCCCCATTTTCTTAAGTACCCAAAACTTAAGTTATTCATCTGCTTTGGTTTGAATACATGCAGAACCATCACCAATGAGGTTTTTAAATGTACTTAAATATGTCCTATGCAAACTGAATCTAGTTAGTCTAATTTACTCCAGTAAATTAGCTATTTTATATGCAATAAATGTAGTTTTCACTACACTCCCCACAATAATGAATCCTTCTATCCAAATTAAGAGGTAAACATCATGTTACATGCACTTAAACCTCCCCAGAAACATAACTGTTGATGAAACAGTTTACTGATATCATCATTGTTGATTAGAATTTGTTCAGCATTACCTCTTGGATATATCTGTAGAGGCTCTATTAACTGTCCATTTACTTGCTGTTCCATTACAGTGGAGTAATACTGCAAAGAGATTAAAGAAAGAGATTACTCAGTATTGTATACATGTAGTAAGAGCTCTTATGGATTGGTTAATTCAATGAATTTTTTTTTTTTAATTGCTATAATACATGAGCTTTTACAATGCTTTCTGACCATTTGCAATGCTCACACAATGAAGTGGCATGGGAGGAAGGCAACCCGGAGGCTGCATTAGTACTGACTCCAGCCCACGGATCTGTTCTTGGCTCAACTACACAAGTTTCAGGCCCACCTGAAACCTGGGAATACCTCAGATGAGCAAGCAAATGCAACATTTACAGCAAACACAGCAGTTGCCGCACCTGGAGAGGCTGGGAAAAACCAGTCAAATGTGGAAACGAAGAAATGCTGTAAATATAAGCACAAAGTGTGCTATTAGGAAAACTCTGAGGGAGAAAAGGATCTGGAAACCATCCAAGAACTTGCAGTGATGAAGCACAGCCAGGGCAGTTGGGGCCACATCCCATGTAAGCAGAGATGCTGTGCATTGCCTCAGTATGCACATCTAACACACAGTAGGGCAGGCAATGGAAAGCCATTGCAGACATGCTGAGACCTTGGACTCCACAGGAACTGCCAGGAGTGACCAGGAGAAGTTTATTGATAAAGAAAGGTGAAGAATGGACAAAAAGGGATGCAAAAGTATATGAAAACGTCATGACCCAAGAATATATAAGATATGTAAGGTGGTATGAGGAAGTCTAAGAAGTGGCTTCTCATGGGATGGCATCCTCATGAGGATGAGGATGAAGAGTGGGATTAAATAAAGAAATAAAGATTTGGACTAAACAGTGAACTCTCTATTAGCCTCTTTTAATTGACCCTCACTCCGGAGGAGGAGTGAACACTCACAGGACATTTAACATTACAACCAGACAACCCTGGGGCACGAGACAGACCTTGCTATGAGTTTACTGCATACAACCCACACATCTCTCATCACAACGTGTTACACGTTGACAGCACATCACAAAGCGCGTTTCTTCTGCAACCACCAAACATCTTTTGAAGCAAACACATTGGCTGTGGGCCAGATCTTCATGGCATAAATCAGTGCAGCACCACTGACTTTCAAGCTAATTCTCACCAGCCGAGTGTGGTCTAAGACTTCAGCATGTCACTGTTACCAGAGGCTTGTGATACTGTTACTCAAACTGGCAAGAATGGATGTCAACAAGGGAAAAAAACCCCTTTCTGTGTCTTTGTGGAATCAAGCCACAGAAATACACAAGCCCTGTGTATTTCACTCACACTGATGGCTTCTTGTAACACAAGCATTTTTATTTACGCAACTTAAATAAGACAAAAGTTTATTAATGAGTTAATGCTACAGCACACTTTCCACTTACAATGGGATGAAATATGGACTGGAGTAAGCAAATGTTAAATGGACACCAAAGTCAATCTACATGCAGAAGTTTTCAGTGCTTCTGTTTTCCACATTTGTGCCAAAAAGCAGGAAGACATTTCCTTTCCGTTAAAAACCTGTTACAAAGGTTTTGCTGAGGGGTTAACAACCCATCCAGCCCCACCTCCTGTGTGTACAACTAACGTGGTGCCTGCTGCTGAAAGCATTGCCCTCACTAAAATCTCACCACAAGACTTTTGAGGGTGGCCTCTCATTGATATTAGAGTACAAACAAAAATCCACACCTTAAATAACCACATGTTTATACAGAGCAAAGCTCTTCATCCCAAAAGCTCACTCTTGAAACAATCAGCTTTGAGGAGCTAGGACTATCCCATAGACTCATATAGGATCAGGGGGGTCATGAATAACACACCAAATCCTCTCCCACATCCCCATATCCCTTTGTAAAGAAGTGTCACTGGTACCTAATAGTTACAGAGCTGTGAAGAAATCTCCTGCTCCACTGAGAGCCAAAACTGCTTCAGAAAACCAAACTTTTTTATTACCCTTTTACTTGTGGCATTCTAGGACCCACATATAGACATACATATACACACAGAGTATAAACACATATGACATACTCTCTAGAATAATGAACTAAACATATATGAGATGGTTCCCTACCAAAAAAAGAGAGGAAAAAATAGAGGGAAAGAAAGAAAAAAACCACAGCCCTCTCCATTACTCAAACAGTGATGACAAGTAAATGAAATATCAATCATGTAAGCTGTCAACCTTTTGGGACAGCAATAACTGTTAACAAGTAGTCTGGAAAAATTGTCTGAAAATGACTTGGCCTCCACACACAAGCATTTGAGGTTTCCATGGAAAATTAAGATGCCAGTGGCTATTTGGAACATTGTTCAGGTATTCTTTTTAATGGAAAATTTGCCAGTTATTGATCCAGAGCATGTACCCCTTGCTTCCAGAAAGCTGCGAGCAACTTTCCAATCAGTGCCTGTCAAAAAAATTACTGCCTTTTTATACTGATACAAGACAACAGCTAAAGCGCAGTTCCACTGCTGTTCAATGGCTGGCTGTAATTAACTGCAATGCGCAGTACAAAACTGACTTTATTCACCATCCCACAGTATTTGCACTGACATAACACAAGAGTATTTCTGCATACTCTAAAATAACTCCAGAACTGCCTAAAATAACTTTCTGCCAAGTTCTGAAACCAAGGAGCTCAAGATAAGAGGTGATGCATGATTCAAAACATCCTCCCCAATGATGGTGTCATACCTCCACGGAAGAGATGTGTATTCTCAGGGAATTAAACTGAAATAAACCCCTTTGCTTTCATTTGGGAGCACACTGGACCTGGAGGCAAACTGCACCACATCAAAATTCCTAGAAATATTTCAGCAGCTGTTCAATCCTCCAAATATTTGTGGCAGGCCTCAAAATAGTAAAAATGAGTAGTTTTTTCTTCCCCAGTATATTCTTCAAGATTACAGGAAAGTCAATGCTTTTCTTGCAGGGTAAGGACATTTGTTTCCTGATAAACATAGCCCCAAATGACACCTATAGAATATTAGAAAGTTAAACCACCAGTGCAACACTCAAATAGAAAACTAGTTTAAAACTGAAGGGAAAATTTTCAGAGAAGAAAAGCTGCTGAAGCAGAAAGAAGTCATTTACAGACATCCCATAATTTTTAAGGAAAAGCAGAGAGTTGAGCAATCATAACTCTAATGTACTGAAACTTTAACAGTAAGCTTGGAAGCATAGCAAAAAGATGACCTTACAAAGGCATGATTAATCTTAAGACTGTGCCAGGAAAACTCAAGTTTTCAAGTTTAACAGCAAAAATGGCAGACATTTTATCAGGAAAAATATCAAGAAATGCAGGAATTCCAGTGGGTAAGCATCACCAGTGACCCAGCTGTATGAAACAGAACAAAATAAACCTCAAAAAAGCCCAAAAGCCCTTTGACTGCAGCAAGATTTTTCTTCCTTTCTTTGACACAACTGTCTTATGCTCTTTAATATCAAACTTGTAATAGAATGGTTTCACCTCCTCTGGAAAGAAAACTGCACATGAGAGAGGCTTATTTAATAAATCCCGGGAGTTGCACAGAGATCAATCACCAGCATCTGGAACCTGCACTTCTTTGACCCCAGGATTAAGTCACATGCAATGACTAAAGCCTCTTTGAACCAGGGTTTGCTAACAGACTTCCAGCCAACCAATGTCCACTCCAGCCTGCGCAAGGCAAGAAATAGTACAACCCCTGCAGGTATCAGAAGGATCAGAATTCCATGGAGGAGCCCTTCCTGAAGCCTAGAAAATATGAGCCTCCTTCATGAGAAACATTCATCATTTGATATATTTACGTGCTAAGCTCACAACAACAAAACTACACTGTTCTGATAAAGACTAGAGAATATGTGCCCAAGAGGGATCCAATAAACATAGACTCGGGCGCAATGGAGGTGATCCAAGCATCTCCCTGCTCTGCTTCCTCTGCAACAGGGAACTAGTGAGGAGGACTAAACTGAACCAAGTCATTAAATCCCACCTACAAACTGTACAGAATGGGGTTTGGTTCTGACATGGTCCAAGTTAAGGCCATTAATATAGCTAGCAGTGCACTTTCTAAGGAACCAGCAGCCCATCTGGCTTGAAGTAAAAAACCCCATTTGTTATTTTCTTGCTCATCAATTGCAGTTGAAAGGAAATGTAAGTGAGAAAAATCACTTAACATCTGCAACACGAAGCTACATTCAAATTATTTTGTTTCAAGAAGTAACTGCATACTTGATTTCTGTGGACACGTTTTATATTTATAGGTATCTAGGCAGATTTTACACACATCTACGTCTATAAAGGCACACACAGCCCCATCTCTCTCGTATTAAAAACCAGAGATATGTCTTTAAATCCTCTCTGAATACTGAGCCTGCAGCTACAATGAAACTCTTCTGTGAGGAGGGGTGAGACAGTCTCCAGATGAAAGTAGATTTTGAAAAATTTTTAGAGCCCAGGGGTTCATTTTTAATGAGCCGTTACTTTAAGTACTGCATAAAAAATACAAGAAATTGATAGTCCATTTAGCCTGCACTATACCTAATGCAAAAGTCATTAAGATGCATTATTCTTAACGTTTATGATGTGATCAGTAAGTGTACAAGTCTCTTTTTTTAAAAAGTCAAGCCTGTCCATGTATCTCATGTGATGCAGTTTTTAAACACCTACACTTAATACAGGAATGTTTTACTCTAACTTAATAGAAGAGTATTGTCCTGTGAGCACTGCAGCTGATGTTAACACTTGGATACAAGCAATAATACACAAACAGAAACATGGATAATGTCAGCATTTGTTATACTATACCTACATAGGACAGCATGGCTTTCATTTCTTCATCGCTTCTAACAGTAATCCGGTCACCATCCTCATCTTCATCTAACAAAGAAATACATTACATTCGTGAGCAATGCAAGAAGGATATTTACAATTTCAATATGTAAGGGTTTCACCTTAAGTGCTCAAAACTTTGCTCTCAACAGTTATTTTAGTGCTAGAACCTCTTCAGAAGCAGAGGACCTTATGTACACTGCAATATCCCTTGCTGAAAACCATCAAGGTATTGTCTTTACACAGTAAACATGAAGTAAAGCTTCTGAGTGTGCTTCAGTGCTCCCAGAGGGAGTTATGTTTTGGCAGTTTTTCATCAGAAACTAAAATAAAACTAAAATAAAATTGTTTCTCTCCCCGTAAAAGCTTCTGATCTTATCGTCAACCCAACCTCAACTCACCTGCCCTGTGACAAGTTCCTCCCACTCCTCTGTCCCCATCCGTGTCACAAGTGCATGGACATCCTGGCTTCTTCATAGCACAGCAAAGCTGGCTTAAAAATGGTACCTTTTAAGTGGACACTAATCCACAAGGTTTATACAGAGAAATTTAGATGAAGTTTGTGAATCAACAAAACCAGTCTGTGTTGAGTTCATTGGGCAGATGTGGGTGAAGTGGAGGCCAGAGTCAGGAGCAGCATTACCAGACAATCATGTTTTCATGATGAAGTCTCAGGCATGGCCACAAACACAGACAAGGCACTTTTGGAGGAAGCAAAGAAGCCTGCTTAAAACCAGAACACCAGAGGAAAGGCAGCAAGATCCAGAGAGGCTCCAGCAGAGCAAAGCATTCAGGAAGAATTATCAATATGAAGATCTGAAGGAGGAGAAGACCTTCCAAAGACATATGGTGGCTTCAGCAGGTGCAGATTTACTGGGGGGGAGCAATCCCCCCCTCGTTAGCACCAGCTGGTGCAACAACACACGCCAATGTCACAGGCAGCAGTCCCTGAGACACTCGGTGAGGCTCCTTCAGCAATGTCTAGTCATCCTCTCCTTACTGCTCCTTGTGGGAAGCTCTCACTCTTCCACTCGCTGGAGACCTGCACCTCATCCAGATAAAGAAACAGACCCTTCTGCTCCAAATCAGCTGTGAAAGAGTAAGTTCTTTTTACTGCTCCAGCTTTGGGGTGAAGGCAAGCTAGTCAGAAAGCCATGAGGTTGCAAAAGAAAAGCCCTTTGCCTGGACTAACGTGCACTGGGAAATCAAGGAGCAACACACACATTATATTTCAAACCCCTGTTAAATACCAAAGGGTGAGAACACGGAGATGAGCAAGTGCATTTCCATAGCAGGTCTGCTCCTGGCTAGCTCAGGGTGCAAGCAGAGACTGGGGCAGTCTGTCTGTCCCCATCTCTACAGACATGCTCTAACTGACACACGTGCTCTCTGCTATCACAGGCCTGCGTATTACATCAGCATAAAAACGTGCCATTATATCCCTGGATGAAAACTCTTGCTCCTAGTTATGCAGCAGAATCAGGGAAGAGTTCCAACAAATTAAAATTACCCAAGAAAAGGAGTTTGTTCATTCTACCTCTGAAAACCTACCTGGTAATTTTGAGGCTATAATGAAAAAGAGAAAAACAATGCAGAACAGAGAGCAAACCAAGAGACAAATAAGAAGGAAAAAAGTAACATAAAAACCTCAGAATTACACTTTTTTAATGTCCTGAAAGAGAGCTATGGGACACTGGAAATGTGGAAGCTGGAAGAGGAACCAGACAGCACAGACACATCCTACAAGGGCCTCGTCTCACGGAAATTTAACTGGTGAACTGCCAGACTGCTAGAAGTACTTGCTCGGGTTAGCAGCCTGCAGCAAGTCATTAATGATGAAAAGATTAAGAAGAGTTAGTGAGTTGAAACTGAATGTTTCCTTGCCTGGAAACGTTTTAGGCAGCAAGGAGGAAGAGCTGTAAAACTGCTACCTGGCCAGAACCCAAGTCCCAGCCGCAGTGTGTAACTGAGTAGGAAAGGCTGAAGAAGCAGCTGTTGGAATAGTGAACACAACAAATACCATGCATCATCCAGAAGGGATCAGACTGAAATGCAGAAGAGGGGAAATGTGGCACAGAGAAATGAATATATGGAGATAAAAGCCGATGAACAGGCCTGGCTTGAGGGAATAGAGCTGGAGCCCCCCAGAAAGGGAAAAGATAAAAGTGGAAAACTCTCAGAGCCACTTGCAAAACCTTTATAAAAATCACACATTATTCACTGCAAGGGATTAAGAAATTAACTCTCCAGTTCTCAGAATGGCAAGATCCCTGATGATGATACAAAGAGAATATATTAAAACTGTGCAGATGAAAAGGCACAAAATGTTACCTGGCATTCAAAAAGCCAAACCTGAAATTGTCAGACAATGTTTGTAAAGAACAAAACCAGAAGAAAACATATTTCTCATCCACGCAGAGATCCTTTGCTTTCATACCACGACATTTAACTGGGCACAGCCCAAAACCGAGCTAGATCTGACACATGGGTTCGGAAAGATTTCCAGGATTCTCTACTTGCCTAGAGCACAGCAATATGATTTTCCAGCACATTAGGGAAGCAAAAGTAGAACCAAAAAATCCTACGTATTGGCTGGATTTTGCTAATGTCACTTAAAATGGAGGAAGAAATCCTCACAAGATACCAAATAGAGTGCAGCAGATGGTAAACAAATATTATGAAGCAATCTTCACAAAATCTGCAGTGTGTCACAACTATACAAAATGGCAGAGTTTGGATAAAAGGATCATAACAGGCCATATGTTGTTAGTGATTTTATTTGTAGCACTGTGTAATGCAATGGTGAAATCCACATCAAGGTCCAACAGAAGTGCAGCCCCAGGTAGGAGCTGCAAAGGCTGGTACACTGGAGATAACAATAACTAAATCCATAGCAGAGGAGCCTGCACTGGATGGCAATTATCCACATCTGAAGAAGCAATGAAGCAGGTGAGAATGAAGCTTAAGCTGGTGAAATCCAGGAATTTGATATGGAAAAAGTAACCAGGAAAATCACGCATCAATATACATAACATATTTTAGATGCCAGTTAAATGGCAGGGGAAATGGGTTTGTGCAGATGTAAATGACAGACTAGAGACATGAACTGAAAGCACAGAAGCAGATGTTAGAAGACACAACAAAATAAGTATTTCCAGGAAAGTTCTACACATGGTACCATTAATATGGGCTACTGCCCTGATTGCAGCGACTGCTGCTGGTGCATGAAGTTCAAACGAAGCTAATGGGGGATGTGGGAGGGATGGGAGAAAAATAAATATTAACAAATCATAACAAAACATGGCAAGGTCTGGAGCCTGGGTTTGCTCAGGTCCCTGCTCAAAGTCTTGCTTTAAAAAGCAGCGCAGGAGAGATGTCAAGGCTACAGAGAACTAACACATCAGCTCCACTCTGAGGTGTCTGGAGTTTTAGGAGGGGAAAACACAAAACATATGAAAAGAAAGATAAAAAGCACTTGAAGGACCATAAAACCAGTATTTCCTTTGATTATCTACACACAGAATTACCCATAAAGCTCTAAAGAGGGGAGAAATGCTAATAAGAATGGAAGGCCCTATCTTGTCATATCTGCTCTCTCACCTTCAGCATCACTACCTTATTGATATAACACCTCTAATCCCCTCCAGCTCCTTCTTTCTATTTCATCTCTATCAAAGGAAAACACAGAGTTACATAGAAAAAAAGATAGAATAAGCATTAAAAGGGAATAGCAGCAGCCCTCTCCACTTGGAAGAGAACTCTAGCTCACTATCTTATGCCCCAAGAGACAGATGTTTGACTCCCTTTTGCAGCTTATTGCTATCCAGATAGGACAATCCCCCAAGAATCCCTCAGAAAAGAAAAGAAGACAGGGTTCAAAGAACAGAGCTAAAAAATGAGTACTAGCAGATACAGGTCTAAATCTGCATTAGCATACTCACCAAGAGGTCTTCTAACTCAGCAAAAACATGATACAACCCCCTTCCTGAGGTGAAAGTGCCATTATGGACAACCCCAACCTGCAGCTTCCTCTGATCACACACAGCAGCTGCTTTTCCCAGATTCCCAACCAGACCCATGTGGCCTTTTAGAGATTATTCCTACTGCCCAGTCTAACTTGGTGCCATCTCGCTGCAGCTCTCACACCTCCTCCAGGAGACAAAGCTGAGTAATTCCTAATCTCACACAGGAGACAAAGGTGAATAACTCTTTTTCTCACACAGGAGACAGAAGATGGTGCATTCATCTTAAGCCCAGCAGAAGGAGAAAAGGAAAACTAAACCCACAGCCTCTTTCCAGCAAAACACAGCCATTTGTTCCAGGGAAAGGAAACAGTCATTTCTAACAGTGCCATATTTGGTACAAATCTGTCTGTTGTACCCTATTTCTGGAAAAGCTGCTGCTCTTCTGGATTCTTCCAATGAAGGATTAAAATTTTAAAATCTCAGACCTACAGGTTCTTTATACTTTTCATTTAACTCGAGCAATAGAGCTGCAGTGAAAAGTACGAGCAGGGTAAGGTCGTGCTGGCGAGTAAAGCTATGGTGTAGAAATATGCTCATTCAAGATATGATTAAATAATAAAATATTGCTTAGTTCAGTATCAGCATTAAACTTGCATTAATGCATAAATATTTAACTGTAAGATATAATGAACATAAACATTATTTATTTAAAAATATGACAGCCCTATAATGTGACCAAGGAGACAGTTTATACAAGTCGTACTCACACTCAAACGCTGTTGTCGTTGCATCTGGCAGAACTTGACCGATGACATCCTAAAATGTAAAGAAGAATTAGCTATGTATCATGTGGGAAATCATAGAATGGTTTGGATTGGAAGGGAACTTGAAGCTCTTCCAGTTCCAGCCCCCTGTCACAGGCAGGGACACCTTCCACTAGAGCAGCTTGCTCCAAGCCCTGTCCAACCTGGCTTTGAACAGTACCAGGAATGGGGCAGTCACAGCTTCTCTGGGCACCCTGTGCCAGCGCCTCAGCACCCTCACAGGGAAGAACTCCTTCCTAATGTCTGATCTATGAGATGATTTAGAATAATCACCCCTAGCTGCAGGCTGAAGTCTTAACAGGCCTGCTACTCACCACTGCCCCAAAGTTACAAACTTTTTAGCACACAACACAGATCAGTATAAATCACAGTGCTCTCCTCCTTCCTCTCCATGCTACCTTGAGAAAGAACTGCTTTCTTTTCAAATAACTCAATCATCCTTGCAAACGAGTCAGTGTTGTCTGGTTTTACAGTTTAAAGAATCGATTTTGTCCGTAGGTTATAAAAAACGTACACCTAACTCATCCGAGTCAGTCATAAAAACACGTTTATGAGTGGCTTTTTATTTAAGAAAGCATGTTTTCTCTCAGTCCTGCTCACATCACCCCAATGCCTCCTCTCCATCTCCCAACTGCCCTGGTCCTCCCTTCCACTGCAAGATACCATCACAGAGCTCCATCTCCTGACCTGAGAGTAGGTCAACAAACAGCTCTGGGTGGGCTCAGGGCTGCCACTGTGAATTAAAACAGCAGCAGTGAGACCTCGTGAGGTTTTGTTGCTTTCACTCCACAATGGCCCTGGGAAGCGGTGGGACCCAGCAAAGGGGAAATGGACCTTGCAAAGCAGCACCGTGCCTCTGCTCCACACAAGTTGGAAAGTTGGGAGGGCTCTTTGTCATTCTCAATCAGAATTTAAACTTAGAATGCACGTACTAAGATTAAAACACATTGATTAAAACACCCAAAGAAGTGAATGCACAAACCTTGAAGACAACCTCCAAACAACTCATACACAAGCCCATCACAAAATATACCAAACACTTACAAGTGTTACACATCTCTGATCCAAACCAGCACTTTTCTGTACCACTAAACCAAGAGGAGAAGAGTCATTTGGGGTTTTTTTTAGCCTTTCCACACTGCATTTACTCAAAATTCAGTGAAAAATCACTGCTCAGACTGAAGTCATCCCGAGCTCCCAGTGCATGTGCTGCTGTCAGCCTTTGCTAGGCTGCAATATGTCATGTCAGGGCACGGCATAAATGCACAGCATGGTTTGCTCCTTCCTGCTGCCTGACTTCCCATGTCAGACAATCTCTCCACTGACAGTGTCACCGAGTGATTAGAAATTAATGAACAACCATATTTATTGTGGTACATGCACTGTGAGCATCTCAGGGCGCTGAGCACCCCCCGCATCAGAGCTTTAGTGATCACTGTCCTGTCACTTTTGTTTTTGCTATTTTTGCTTTTAGTCTAAAACCAGGAAATTAAACATTCTGCGCAACGTTGAAGAGCCGCAATTAATAAAATGAGAAAGCAGCAAAAGCAACCTAAAGATTTCCACAGAGCTAAGTGAAGCATAGCTAAGTGAAGTATTTCTACAACTTTTTCACCCTTTCCTTTTAGATGTTAAATTACATGCTGTTGATTCACTTTAAACTCTTAATGGCATACAAAAGAGAAAATATTTTCAATATAGCTACCTAATTATATAGACTGTGAATTTAAGGAGATTAAAAAAAAAAGCAAAACACCCCCAAACATTGCCATGTTAACAAAAATTCCTCTATTTAAATACTTCTCCAAGGCTTGACAGCTCTGTCAGTCCTCTGTCAAAAGCCAGCCAAGCTACACCCTCTGCTCCTCGCAGGAAATTTAAGTCTTGCCCAACTGTACTGTGAACTGATTCTTCCTAAATCCACTTAGTTAAACATTGAAAATTCCTCAGCAAACACACCTTAATCCTATTAGATTTAAGCCCCTTGTAAAATGTTCTTATGTGGGCACACAGATGCTTCCATTTAAAAATTGTTATCAGAAAAGGAGCCCAGCTAGGGCATTCAAACTGTATGTAAAAGGTGTGTAAGCACAGCACTGAGACAGGTCTGACAGTCCCAAATGCCTGCTAGGGAAGCTCCAAGACTCCCAAAGCTGTGACAGCACTGGAAGAGATGGTAAAATCTTGTTCTGCCCCTATTCAGAACAACTGTTCGTGTACACTTGGACTTCTTTAAAATGAGTACTAACCAAGTACATGAATTTAAGAACCATGCACCATAACTCTGTCTTACAGTACATAAAGAGTTGAAAAGAAAACCCTACCAACAGCCAGAAAAAAAAAACTTGGTCTGGTCAGCTTTAAATACTTGTATTAAATCAACACATCTGAGGAAAACTATCCCTGCAGGAAGTGGGAGGGAGGGAAATCACACCCTTATTCTGTAGTTACCGTAGCATTTTCATCAGCTACGTAAGACTTCCCTGCTCAAACCTCCAGCAGAACCTCTCGGTGACCCAAGCTTAAAGGATTATGCTAAATTTCATTAGATTATGCACATGTGATGATTTTCTACTATCACAACAGAGATCCCAAACAATGAAATACAACCTGCAGACATTGTTCAAGCAGGCTCACATACACAAGAGCTTCTATTTTATCTCACAAAACTGAAAAGCCTCTAATAAAGAGGGGAAAACTGAGGAAGCAGCTGAAATCTGGTCCCTGGAAGAGCCGTGGAGAACTTCTCTCTGGGGTGAGGAAGCAGAAAACACGGAAGCACTGCTTTAAATGACAGGGTAAATATTGACGCTGTGGCTCAACACTCCTGTTTCAGTTAAAACTTGTGTTATCTCAGTATGACATCATGAGGTTACCCTGAATTAACACCAAGTGCTTCAACACCCCACTGACAGCCAGAGCAAACAAATCCAGACAGCCTGATGAAAAAAAAATAAGCTTATTGTAATTCATTTAGTGATGCCTTAAAAATAAATCTAGTTACTGGTAACTCACAGCTCTGCAAAGCTGACATACACAGAGCATATTTAAAGTGACATTATGAAGAACAGCTCTTAGCACCCAGTTTAAGAGAGTAATCAAGAAAATGCTTAAGCTAAAGCATACAAGTAGAGCTGCTTCCACGGGTCAAGCACCATCCTACAGCGTTGAGGCCAAGCACCAGCAGCTACCAGCAGGTATCAGGCTTTCCAGCTGAATACCTGCTACACCATTTAGTATCTGTAAAGGCTCCTCCAAGAGACAGAATCAGAGCAGCTGAAAATTAAGAAATGTGTCATTTAGTGTGCAAGGCACCCTGAGCATCAGACTCCTCACTCTAACATGGTACACTATGGGTACGGACAGGGTATTTGGGGATTCTATACCACAGCTTCTTGTCTGGAAAAGGAAGATGGAAATAGTCTTGCATGACAGCATGAAACGCTGCAAAGATACACATGGCTCTTCACACTGCTGGGATTTAGTTAAATTAACTATAATCGTGATTAAAAAAATATCTTGCTGGTATCAGATAATGTTATGGGGCTTTCTTAATACAAAGCAGACCATGGCACCTACCTCAGAAGGGTGATGCCAGATATATCCAGCTTCTCTGGGCACCCTGTACCAGCACCTCGGCACCCTCACAGGGAAGAACTTCTGCCTAAGAGCTCATCTGAGTCTCCCCTCTGGCAGGTTAAAGCCATTCCCCCATGTCATGTCCCTACAGGCCCTTGGCCAAAGCCCCTCTCCAGGTTTCTTGTAACCCTTAAGGCACTGGGAGCTGCTCTAAGTTCCCCTTGGAGGCTTCTCTTCTCCAGGCTGAACTAGCCCAGCTCTCTCGGCCTGTCTCCAGAGCAAAGCTGCTCCAGTCTTCTTCAAGTGATGGCCTTGAGACAATTCAGACCTTATTAAACTTCTTTTTTCTCTAAAGATTTCACAGTGCACAAGAGAGAGTTTTTGACACAAAAATGGCAATCATCCAAGGATGCTACTGCACAGATCTGCTCCCAGATGAACACTGCTGTAACACCCTTCATCCCCACATCCGAGATGTTCACTGATGAAGAACAGTGAAGAGCACACATGGCCACTTCGCTGGTGCAGTTCACCATAGCGCTCTGCTCTGCTAAATAAAGCAACTGTGTAAGGATAGGCTCCTCTCTTCAGCAGCTGTGCTTTGCTGGGGTAGAACTGCCTGCAGCACAGGCCCTGGACACCGACCACAATGACTCTTAGAAGCACTTCAGGTATCAAGGGCCCTGCCAGGATCTTCCCAGCATGCTGGAGACAATTACTCAAACTCCTCACAGCAGGGCTTCTCACTAGACCAGAGCTCAGTACTTTGCCCTGATACAACTAACAAATCAACGCAGGTGAAGCCTATTGGTTGGTGCTACTTCAACAGCAGTAACACTGCACTTCTGCTTGAGACCTCGCTCCAAAAGGCACTCTGCCTTTTAGCATTATATTGCAACTGAACACACAAGGCTTATTTTAACTTCAGGTCAAAAAGGCATCAGCTGCAACATGATGGAGTAGCTATAGGAGCTACAACAGAAGCTGCAGGTGCAATCTCACATGTAAGATATGGTCCAGCCACTGAGTTACAGCTGTGCTGCCTGAAGCCCTCTCTGGCCTTCAATACAGGTCCTCATTCCTGCACCTCCAGGGCTAGCACCACAGTAGGGTCAGAGGCTCAGAGCAAACTACAGGCTCCGATTCCAACTGCTTCTGCAGTTTAAGCTTCAACAGCACTTCTTTTCAACATACTTGTTAAACAGACTACAGAGCTCTGGTTTGAGGCCCACATACCCCCAGCTATCTTTAAGCTGAAACAACAAGGATGACAACTAAATAGCAACATGGTTTTGCAAAGCCATGCTTTCAATCTGACAACACTTCCCTATTTACTTTTAAGTAATACAACCAAACTTAAGTGTCCAATACTTCTAAAATGCCACAGGATAGTCCAAGCATCTGGGATTATTTCACTTTATTGGGAGATAAACGGAAAACATGAAGCAGAATATGGAGTAAACCTGGCTGAGATTCACACCCCTTGTCTTTGAAGGGGAGCTCCAAGGGGAACTGCCCCAAAATCCCACTGATCTGTCACAAGTTCTCCTCCTCCATCTATAGAAAGTCTTGGATAATGCTAAACATTAGGAAGAACAAAACCTGAAACATCTGCCATCTGCTCCAGTTACCTCTGCTATCTCCCATAGGCCCAACATCAAACATTTTCCAGCAAATCAATCCGTTAGGGCACAGTCTTCAGCAGAGATGTGTTACATAGGGAAGATAAAGGCATCCTGAAGAAAGTTAAGTATGAGCTGCACACAAGGAGGAGAGTTTTCTGGGGGCTAAGGATAAAGTTAAAAAGAAACAGTAGTGTAATAAGTATCCATTACCACTTCTGAGTAAACAGAGTATCCCCGTATACTAGATGTGCACGTGGGGAGAAAACAAGGCAGGCAGGGGTTGAAGGCAGTCCAGGGCAAAGGAGATGCAACAAACCTAGAGCACCAAAAGCAAGAGCAGCTATAGCCCAGGTGCAGAACACACAGATACCGTGCCAGGGAGGCACTAATTTCCAAAGAACCACTTTTTAAATCACTGTAAAAGCGCTGCTTTTGACCACCCTGTCACGCCAAGACGCCGAGATGCCGCACTCCTGGCATCCCCAGGCCCCTGGTTTCTTGCAGTCCCTTTCCCATTACAACTTTCAGGCGCAGACAGGAGACAGCAAACACCCCGTCCCCGAATAAACCACCACCACCTTCGCCCCCCAGGCAGGGAGTTTGTCTCCACTTTCCCCACCGGCTCCTGGTCATCGTTCCCGGAGCCGCGGACCCCGCTCCCCCCGGGCTCTGGCTGGGACTCACCAGCACGTCCCTGAAGAGCAGCTGAGGCGCCGAGTGCACGGTCCAGTCGACGGCCCCGCCGTCAGGGATCTTGATGCGGATCACCAGCGCCTGGCTCTCCATGGCGCGGGAGGGACCGCAGAGCAGCCAGAGCATCCCCGCCCCGGCGGGCTCACATGCTACGGCTGGCCCGGGGCTGCCGAGCCGAGCGGGGCCGAGCGTGCCCCGCCCCGCCTGCCCGCAGGAAGGGGCCCCTGCCCCGGAACCAAAACGGAGGGACCCGGAGGAGGGAACCGCCAGGAGGAGGAAGGGGAAGGAAGAGGAAAGGGAGCCGGCGCCATGTTGAGGGGAGGAGGAAGCTCTCAGTCCGTGGCCCGCCCCGGGGGCGAGCGGGAATGGCCCTGGAAAGTGGCAGGCAGCGCTTAGGATTTCTTTTCCCCCTATTACACCTTCTACTTTTAGCAGGAAAACCGCTTTTGAGACAGAAAAATCACATGGAGTCAGGCTCGGACTTTACATAAATTGTGCGAAGTCCCCAGTACCGCCGCTCTTCAGAACTCAAGAGGAGTGAACTGGGGCCTCCTGAGCGCTTCCTGAAGAACTCCGAGGGCTTGTGCGTTCAGGTTATTCAGCTGGCACACAAAAACACGTACCCAAACATAAACCTGTGCCACGGCCACCTTGTACAGTCTATCTTTGGTGCAAGGTCCCTGTGCTGGCACTTGCTGTCAGACTGCAAAGCAAACGAGTAACTGGGCAGTGGGAACAGCATCACACCACCCTCCGCTCACTACTGTCATATCCAAACATCCCTATTAACGTGCTTTAAGCAGTTTTGCCAGTAGTTGTCACATACTTCCCTCTTTTTCCAAATTACATAATCCTTGCCTTAAGTATCTGCTATACCAACATCCATCTTAAAGCACAGCTCTGATGAAAGAAAATCCCTGTTAAAAGCTACGTCCAGCACCCTCTGCAGCAGCAAAGAACGGTTCGAGTGTGACAGCTCTGTAATCTCCACACTGTGATCACAAGCCATGACAGACTATGTTCAGCTTTTTAAGAAAGCTTTTTGCCTGTCAGAAGTTAGAGGGAAGGATCTCTGATCCGTAAGCACAAAACCTCCCAGTTCTTTGTAGCAGAAGAGCATTCATCTCAATTGCAGGTGATCAATGCATACGTTTTACCACAATCTCTCGCATCATATATGACAAACTGGACTACTTGAGTTACAGTATTGGGGGGGGGGGGATAAATAGGGGAGGTGTATTTGATTTAATCCCTGAAACATCTTCAAGCTTTCTTAAAAAATTCTATTTTGTTTGAGCTTTAGGAAGAAAAAAAATCTTTCAATGGCCATTAGCAGGGATAAATCCTCTCTCTGTTCACTAACTTTATAATTTAGTTCCTACATTAGAAATTAATAGAACCTCAACTCCTAAGTATCTGAGGGATTGGTGCTGCCCACACAGCCATCTTTCTGTTCAAATGAACCCTTTACCTGCAGTCCCTGTGTACCTCTCAGTCATGTTCATTTCAATCAGATTCATTTTCTATTAAATTTTCAAGAATAGGGTACAAAATCATAGGAGTTCTATAGAACTGCAATTTTTCTAAAATGTCTTTTTCATTTACAAGACTATGGGGAAAACCAACTCAATTTGATACATTTGCATAAATATTATGTAGATTTTCCAGGGCTAATCATAACCTTAATCCCCCATTCTGATTCGTGTTGATGCAGCTGTAATCAAACTTCAAGGTTTTCTACATCTTAAGAAGTACAGCACATCAAGCACATGTTTCTTGGTACAGGTTTGGGTTTGCCACTTATTTGAAGCCCGTGTTTCATAGGAAACTTTCATTCTAACTACACTACCATTTCAAACAAATAGTTAATAGTTATTTCCGCATCCTGCAGCATTTCTGCTATGAGAACAGAACTTCACCAAAATTTCTTATATTTTATCTCAGTGTTGGAGAGAAAATCTGTGTGGCAAGAATATGGGTATTTTTTAATAGTATCATAAAATACTGTTAAAGTTCAATATTTGACTGCTCCAAGAATCTCATCATTGAAGGTTTCCAACACAGGAAATACAAGAATTCCAGAAAGCCACAGGAAAAAACAATGAAGCAGTGGGATTTTCCCCACTAACCCCAGATGACACGCTGCCAGCAAGAAATACGCGTGCATTTCCTATTTATAATTACGTATCCAAAGTTATTGTCTATCCACAATGCAATAACATTCAAAATCTGCAAAGGAACAATATATCTGTTCTTTAATTACAGGAGGATCATGAAGCCCATGACTTCTATAAATTCTGTTTTTATTTGCATGGGGGAAATATCCTCCATCAGTGTCACAGACCTCCAGGCTGGCTTTATGCTACAGGCACAAGAACGTCTGTCTCACTGCAGTCTGCTGCTGCTCTCTACTGCTTCCCACTGTGGCTAGAGAGGACAGAGGAGGTGTATTTTCTTTCTGGCCACAGAAAGAAATGTTTGTTTTCAAGGAAAAGCAGAATGCTGATGCAGAAGAAGACTAAAATTATTAGATTTGCCATGCTGCAGAATCCCGTGGGAGTATCGGTGAGAGGGATGGAAAAAGCGCTGTTCCCACTGACTGCCTGGAACGGGATTATCATGATAATTTGCAAGGCTCTCAAAAAGTAGGGAAATAAGTTATTACTTGTTTCCCTCTCTAATTCCCACTGTAAAACCAGTTCTCTAACACAAGTCATTTTCTATCTTTTCACTGCCACAGATATCATGTAATGAAGTTTTAAGTCCCTCTACCAGAACTCTGTAAAAGAGAGGAAAGAATCAGCTGACTCCCCAGCCCTGTTCTTGAATATTCCCATTTCAGGACCTGTATCTAGGAGGTTTTCCTTGCCATTGGTGGAGGGGTGCACGTGCTCAACCTCAGGATCATGCTGATGCAGGTGAAAAATGCAATTTTAATTTCATTACTGGTAGAATTTGCCCAGCTATGACATAGGATTGGTAGACATTTACTATGTAACAGACTGAACAGCATTTGTTAACTACCTGTGCCAAATGTTATTCAACATTTTAACTATTAAAATGCTTTGGAATAGTGTATTACCAGCAACGTACTCTCTGACATGTAATTCAGATACAGTATTTAAACCAGACTTAGAGGAATCAGAACCTAAATGCCGGTCCTTGGTTCACCAAGTTCAGTTTATCATCTCTGCTTCCTCCCTGTACTAGTTTCTAGATAGCTATTATAAATAACAAAGGAAAAGCTCTTCATTTCCTAGAGAAAATGGCACCTGATCATTGCTTTAACAGCATAAATTCTCTATGTTGATAAAATAACATATCAGGGTGAAATTCACCTTTATTACCTTCTCATATCTTCCGATAACCTGCGAGTGCAGCAAACTGAATTCCCTTAGGCTTATGAAAGAAGTAGGTCAGCAGTGCCCAGGCTTTCTAAGCAAATTCTCCTCTAAAATGCATCTCCTTGGAAAGAATCACCCATTGTACCAGCTTCACTAATACCTGTATAGATCAAGATCCCTCCAAACCTGCAGTGAACCTTGCAGAACTAGCTGTCTTCTTTCCGTGTGTCTCCCTACTACCCTGTGCAGTCACTGTGCATGGGCTTAGACCAAATCCCAAGAAATAAAATGATCTTACTTTCAGTTTGGTGGGAGCAGAATCTGGCCTCAAGTAGATCTTTTAAAACTCTTTCTCGTAGTAAACTCATCTTGAACTGAATAAAGAACCCAAACAACAGTACACTTGATTACGGCTGAATTATTAATTGTTTAGTTCTTGCTTTAAATCATGACCAGATTTTGAAATAAGCAGATTAGAAGCATGGTGTATGTATATTTGAAAAGCTAAATGTGATACACTGTTACTGGAAAATTACAACACAAACTATACCAGTTGGATTGAGCAAAAATGCCTGGGTCTCATTAATGCTGTTACTGTACCCCATCAGACCAGCTTCAGGGGCTGCATAATTGTTTTTCTGTCAACCTATAAATTCTTGAGTAACAACAAAATTATTGTGATTTTTCTTACTAAATAATTCATATATCATAAAGCATGTACATAACCAGGCCCATGAATCACTAAGCACGTAGCAATTTTATCTCATGGCATTTCTTCTTGCAAGAATAAGAACAGTTTTGACTTTGTAATACATCATCTCGTTCAAAAATTTCAAGCGTTCTTTAAAAGTTGTCTGCCTTGAAATTTACATTTTGGACTTTAAAGTTTTTTTGATCAGAATTTTTTTGTCTGAAGGATTGCTTTTAATCATGTTTTACAGTTTTAATTCTATTAGGATTATTAATAGCACTGAAAGTAATAAATTGATTTTATGATGAACTAGAACAGGACTCATAAACTGTGCTTAAAGTGATGCAATTGCTATTAAAAATCACACTAAGCCATGTGTATTCTACCTTCCCAAGCAAACAGCAACCATAATGCATCCAAGCTGGCTAAAGTATAACACGGCATTCCATCATTTCAAACCTTAGTGGCTTCCACTGTATTTTTTTTTTAAAGGCTGAATTGATCCATATTTGAGTTTTCTGTTAAGACAACACAAAAAATGTTAACAATCTGGATCATTTATAACTTGACAAAATCATCTCTTAAAGGCTGCTGCAGAGAGCTCTCATGCTACATGGACATCATTACTTTCTACAAAAACATTGCAGTGCGTTTACTAGCACATTATGATGGATTAGCATAAGTAATTAAGGTTAAACTACACTCATCTATGAGTAATAAATATTTGGTGATACATTAGCCCTCTTTACTTCAGCTGTATTTATTCACATACTAATTCAGAGAGGTCAGTAATTGACATCAGGTATCCAATCATTAATGCAAATTTTGATGTTCTACTGCACACATGCTTTATTTAAAAGACTTAAATGCAATCACAGTTATAACATCTTAAGTCTTTCCAGAAATAAAAAAAATCCTTTAAATAAACTTGGAGTATTTTAGTCACTGTTTTTAGTTTACATTCCCATTCATTCTTATTCTATATTCCCCTTGCTGCAATTCCCCAAAGCTGCCACTTTTTCTTAGGTGTATTTAAACCATACAGCCCCAGAAAGTATAGCATGACATCTACTTCCATAATACCTATATTTTGGGATTAAATCATGACAACTCTCAGAATTAATAACTTACTTTTCTGCACTGAACATGATTAAGGAGTTACAGCAAAAGCTAATTTAAATTAAATGGCCAGAGTAAATAATCATGAAGCAAAA